AATTGACAAAAAGGCACAAGGTTTACGCTCGCACACGGGTTCTATTTATTGAATAAATCTTTGACTTTAATTAAGTTGAAATATTTCTTGCTAAACAGAACATAGATATATAGATAGAATGATAGAATGATAGATAGATAGATAGATAGATAGATAGATAGATAGATAGATAGATAGATAGATAGAATAAGCACAGAGATCTTATAATCCTACAGTGACATAATAAGTTCAATCTTGAATTAATTTCGAGCAGAAAATGGCAGTACCGGCGAGCGTTGACCTACTCTGAGTGGAAATGTAACCACAACTAGCCATTACTCAATGAGCAATGCGAATTTCGATTAAAATCGTACTCAAGCCTGAAGGTTCATTGTACCCAGGTGTTGCCTTCAGCGAGGTTGTGTGTTGTTGTCGTTGTTGTTGTTGTTGCTGTTTTTGTTGTTGTTGTTGTTGTTTTCATATATTCCTTTAGCTGCGAGCATTTCGCCCTTGGCAGCGCAATGCCTCACTCAAGTAACCACATGTCCTTATCATCTGGTCAACGCCAGAGTAGAGCAGGCTTTGTAAGTCTGTAGGTTTGTGTAGGAGCCTGAGTCAAAGAACTGCCAGATTTGGGCAGTGAAGGAGAAGATGTTCAACGGTCTCCTCGTGGTAGTCACAGTGCCTGCAATGGGGTTCCCACATGGGGTTAATTCTGTTTATGTGCTTGTTGGTGTGTAAGTGTCCTGTGCAGGCTCTGAACATCAATGTCTGATCGGCTTTACCTAGAACATTCTTTGGGTCTTTAGGGTTGGGTTTGTCCATGTACCCGAAGAGAGAGCGTCCTGTTTCTGCGGCGGTTGTGTGTAAAAATACATTGCAAATTAACTCATCATCATCCAGTGCCAGATCTGCGACAGACATCAGTGATCATGGTTTTCCATTCATTCCTTTGCTCGGACGCTCTAAAAAAAGCTACGTTTCCTTGATCTTTTCCTGTTACCCATTTGTTTAGGTTCCCTAAGTATGTTGTTCTTGGCCTACCCCTGCCTCGCTTGCCCTCAATTTTGCCAGTGAGAGCTGAAATTAACTATTTAACATAATATTGGGAAAAGTTGGGTGAAAAGAGTGAGATGTAGAAGAAAAACCTCTTAGAGGTAATAGTAGGCTACATTTAAAGTCTAATGATACAACCTGTGCCCTTCTTTTTTATGTTTGTTACTCTCTTGTAACACCTCTAATCTTCTGGTGCTCATATGACCTTATGCAGTTGCGAGTGCCGTAAAACCTTACTAAAACTACACAAGCTGTGTCAAACAAAGTCCACTGTTCATACTGCGGTAACCAGGGTATCTCATTCACAAAACAGTCGGTGAAGATTTTTTTCCTTCCTTCATCACAGGGACGAATGCCCGCCTTCCAAATGACCTGTCTTACATTTTTAAACATCCTTCAAGATTAATTCAGTAAAAAAAAATACTCTAATACCACTTCGGGATAGATTTTTCAGTGCTGGGGAAATGTTCAGGGATTTTTTTCTACGTCACGTTAATTCTGCTCAAACTTCTATCCACAAAACAAGCTCAGGTTCTTTAACCTTTAACCTTAACTTGGTCATGCAATTACATTGTTCCAATATTTGGCCGTCATTGCTCATTTCATAATGTATGTACATTCCCCACTCAGTGGCTTTCTTTCTCTCGTTCTTTTTATCGTTCGCTCTCTCTCTCTCTCTCTCTCTCTGTATCTATCTCTCTCTCTGTCTCTCTCTCTCTCTGTCTGTCTCTCTCTCTCTGTCTCTCTCTCTGTCTCTCTGTCTCTCTCTCTCTCTCTCTCTCTCTCTCTCTCTCTTCTTTCCTTTTCTCTCTTTTTTTCTGTATCTCCAACATGACAAATTGTAAATTATATAACATGGATACAAATAATATATACTATTATTCTTTTTTATGCGTAAATATATTATACAAACTTAATGAGCAAAGACAGATAGATAGATAGAAAGAATTAGCGAGCATATTAGTGAATAGTCTTATATGGGGTGCCCACTACGGATGGGATCCCTCGACTCGATCGCTTCAAATACAAACTTGTTTGTTTTCAGTTTCAGGCGATCGAGTCGGGCGGTCGGCCCGATCCAGCCGTAGTGGGCACCCCGTATTACATTGGCATAATGCGATCAAATTTTAATTAACTTCGAGCAGACAAAAGTCCGATCGATCCATGCGACTACTATACGTCGCAAGCAGTAAGTATTTTTAAGATTCAATTTCTATGTCCGCGCATGCACAACGAACTGTTGACTGTGTGACCCAGGCCAAGAGAAATACCAGTGACAAACAGAATCCAGTTAAATGTTTTTTGTTTGATTTTTCAGTTTAAAGCAAGTGGTCACCATGACGGCCATATTTGCAGGCCAATCAAAAGTGCTTTAGTCTAACAGCTGCCCTTAAAACACCATGAAAGCTGTTACTCTCCTAATGATTAAAGGGCAAGGAGCTCGATACTGTCGAAGGAAATGTGTGTGTGTGTGTGTGTGTGTGTGTGTGTGTGTGCGTGTGTGTGTGTGTGTGTGTGTGTGTGTGC